TGGAGTTCGCTGTGCACAAACCAGACGTTCGTGTGCCAATAAGATAGAGTTGGAACAAAAGAAATGTACGCACAAATATCAGACATGTGGGCGTGTGGGCGTGCATGTGCCTATCTAATTATACATGCCAATGAAATATAGAAGTATTAAATATGTTGAGAATACAGCAAAATCATTGCAAGAAGTCTCACGAGTCTTCACTCCATATTGATTAACATGTGCCACCCATTTGGTTAAAGATCCTTATTGATACAATATTATACATAATTACTGTTTCAGTAAATCACGAAATACAAAACAGTGTTGCACTCTGCTCATTCTTAATTGGGGAGATGAATGGATTTCAGGTGTATGTAAAATATGATACACATCCACTCGTTTGATTTGACAGTGTTTCATGCCTGTCATTCGCAGAAACATTTATCACCGTGCCACTTTTTTGCCTTGCTTTTAACAGTACTAGTTCGAGTGGCCTGTGAATTATTTACAACTGATTTGTTTCAGGCTTGTTGGCGAAACAAGACTGTTTTAAGTTAAAACAAGTCATTGAAAATGGCACAGTCCCCATTAATTTTTTGAAAGTTCTCCTTGTGCTCGTCATATTAAAGTGGAGGGGTTGTCGCAAGTGTGTCCTTGAAACTGAGTCTCAAGTGGCGTTTACAACAGATTGTTTATTTACATCAAATTCAAACATGTGTTGCATGACGACCCCTCCGGTTTAAGACATAGCAAAGAAAAACATAGATCACAAGTGAAAGCATTTTAAACAAACAAGATGGCCGCCAGTCAGCCATATTTGAGCATGCTAAATATCAATGAAAATGATACATGGGTGACAGAAATATAGTAATATGGCCAAAAATAAAAACAGTCGTTATTCGGGCATCTTTGATCTGATTATGAAACAAAGTGACATGTATGATGCCAAATACAAAAATATGAAAATGGTACATAAATCTTGGAAATATATTAGTAAGGCCAAAAATTCAGATGACTGTCAATCAGCCATCCTTGATCCGATTTTGGACTATTCCAATGCTTTACATGAAACATTATTTTAACACTGAGAATGGATATTAAAAAGCAATAGTCATTTACTTTGTATTAGTAATATCATTAAGGTCTATTAGCTTTGCGAGTGTCAGGTACTCAGTTTCCCGTTTAATGGCATGTTCCATTGCTAGTCAATTTTTTCGTGGAATACACAATGTATCTTACTTTTAGTTTCACCTCTATACCATCGCGATGTACCCTCCAATATCATGTTTTGCAACAACGACATTTTGAATGCATAACAAAATACAGTTAATTCGAAAATTTTATAATAAGGCTAGCCAACGTTGGTCGCTGCTTTTGTTGTGATGTAACCAACCAGCCTGCGACAGAAGTGTCACACAATGCCTTGGCGATTCCATTATATTTTAGATGTGTTCCTTAAAAATAAACGAGCTTATTATTTTTATAAAACGTTCAAAATAGAATTAATTTATTAAAATATTGAGTATATGCATACATGAAATAATAAAGTGTACGATAACAATGAATAAAACATTGATGAATTCGGCGAATAGAGGAATGTATATTTATCACAACAACAATAGTATTCTACGACTTCCACGATAAGCAAAATCAAATGTAAAAACTTTTCAACAATGCAAACGGAATATTGCTGAAATAAAAAAATCATCATCAAAACTATGTCAAAAGGTCAAGTTGTGTGAATACAATTATAACGAAGGACGCATTCCCTGGAGGTAAGTGAAATAAAAACTGAATGTTCTTTGCGAACTATCACTGTAAGAACGCAACACTGAGTTGCGTTGGGCAAATGAATCAATAGCCATCTCTGCATGTTTTGGTGTGATTATGGAAGAGATTATTTACTTATTCATTTTTTTCTCATGCAGGCAGCTATTTTGCATCCCCTTGCGATTTTTCCCAGATTTTCGGTGTTGGCAAATACATTGACAACTCCGAAAAGTTTGACTGCCGATACTTATTTATACGGACACAACTTAGAATAAAGAATAAACCAATGTGTTGGGGCAAATAATTCATGTGTGTATACTCTCGATCCATTTCTTCCAAAAAGTCTGACTTGTACCCTTCAGTTGTTCTCAACTTTTATTGGCACCCATGAACTGGAACAGTTCTCATTCAAATTTAAAACTCAACTCAACATTACGCCGGACATTACAACACTTGTATACATTTTATTATAATATTTTATATTTTCATATGTTATTGGCATTAGAAAGCTACATGCAAGTCCGCACGCAAGTCAAATTTGCGCGTAAATATTTTCCTGACTTTCGATAGACACCTGACTACCGGGGTACTATCTTTTTCAATGATTTAAATGCGTCCAGTTCAGCGCCCGATTTGGAGGTCAAACTTCAGTCAATACACACTTGATGTCAGCATCACCCAAAGCAAGTTTCGCAAAGACGTACTTGAAGTTCAATTGTGCTCCAAAATGATGTCGCAGCACATGTTGTAATCCATGATACAGCCAGTTTTGACTTTGGCTTGCTTTTCCTTTCTAGTGCATGTTCTTGTTCACGTAAAATGCGATCTCTCACCAATGTATTAAAACACTTTGAATTTATATTTGGTCTACGCGAAACCTTAATCTTTCTAAACATTTTCTGAGACCATGCATGATGTATATTCAAATGATCATGCGATCATATTTTATATTATGTTGATCTCTCTGTCTTTCTGGATCGCTTTGTGCTTTCATTTCATTTTTGTGTACATTTCCTTTGTTCTAACTCGTATTTTATTGCCAAGTCTGGTTTGTGCGAAGATTATGATTAGAATGCCACGCGAAAGTCTGATTTGTGTGTACGCGTTGAGTGGCATATACAAAACTGCGCCTCACGTTTTCCACGCACAACTAACATACATGACGACTGCGGTACCGGCATCATGGAATCTATGCATACATTTGCATAAAATGTAATCGACCTGCAACCGCCGCAAAACCATTCGTTTGATTTCCTACTCTCCCCTAAAGCTGAATAAATAGAACATGGTATGTAAAAAGTGTTATTTTGGCCAGTGAGCACACAAG